ATTAAAAAAAAATTATTATTAAATTATTTAAATAATTACCTTTTCTTAAAGATATGTTAAGCATTGTCAGAAGAATACATTTAATTGAAATTCAAAATAATATCATCAATTAATAAAATTAAATAATTAAAGATATTTAAATAATTATTTTGTTATGCTAAATACTTATATTTCTTAATTTAAAGGACATATCTCAATTTAAGATTATTTGGAGATTTTTTCTTTTTTTCTTCTTTTGAAACAATTACAAATTTGGGGAGATGTTCCACCCACAGAATCGTACTCAAATCTCATTGTTCCTCGTTCTCCCTCCCCTTTCTCCCCATTCCTCTAATATAATAATAATAATAATAATAATAAATTACAAATTTAGGGAGAGAGGTTTCAGCCTAATGGGGTAGGCGCTTACTTTTTATTTATTTATAGGGGTTAAAGCTTTAAACTTCATTTGCATTCTAGCTTGAGGTTTTATTTTATCAACTCAAGGCCTGAAAGGTATTTGGATTATTATAATAACAGAATTTAATAATAAGTACTAATATTGAATAAGGATCAATTTATTCGAGAGTAATTTACATCAATCTATAATTTTTTTGCATAGTTTATATTTTATCAAATCAGTAATTAAATTTAATATTTATTTATGTAAATTATATGTATTAAATTTTAAATTGTTAAATAAATAATAGAAAACATAATTTTTTTAATAGTATAGTCTTAAATATCAAATAATTTTAAAATTTGATGTGCATAATTTATATTAATAAAATATTAAATTTAACCGTTGATTTTTTATAATATAAACCCTATAGAGCATCGAACCCTACGGGTCAAGTGGCATTAGCCACTTTACAATGCACTCTCCCCTCTCCTTGGGCTTGGGTTCGACTCGGTCCCTTATCTACTTGTTCAATATATATATATATATAAACCTTATAGAGAATTAATGTGCTAGTGTAAGCAATGATTCAGGTTATATTAATGTAAGTTGACCTTCACTCATTGATATTATTATTTTTTTAAAACGATAATGATATAATTACTTACAATGCTTCATATCAATAAATTAATGAATATTTACAATATCAAAAGTTAGTAACTAAATAAAAATTAATTATATAATTATATTATAATTATAAATTTATAATATTAGATTTTATTATAATCATATCGCTTTGTCTATAAAATACAAGAAAAGTTTGGTAAGATCGAAAAGTATATTTTGAATTGTCAGTTTTACCCTTGGACTCGGTTCAAATAAAGTTCCAAACGAGTCCGCGCTGCGCGGCCCCAACAGGCCAGTAGGAGAATGTGCACGCGTCTCCGCGCAATGGTTCGGTCCACCAATTGGCCGTGTGAATCAACGTTTAGAACGCTCCACATTGCGGCTCCAACAGGCAAAAGGGGTCCAAGTTTTTCCATTTGCAGATTCTTCCATTGAAAAAGTTTTGCCCCTACTTTATGCCAATCATATTCACTTTGAACGAGTCCAAATTCTAGGCTTTTGAATTTTCCAAATGATGTGAAATTTATGTTAGAAAGAAAAGCCAAAAAAACAATGCACAAGTTTAACCCACTCCCAAGTTTTAAGTCTCTCTTTAACATTTCTTTTCGGTGCATCAATTCGGGTTGTTTCGATTCACATTTAATTTAATAAATTAAAGCTGTGTGGAACTTTCCGAATGATGTAAAAGTGATGTTAAAAGGAAAGCAAAAAAACAATGTTAATGTCTAACCCATTCCTCAGTTTTAGGTCTCTTTTTCACATTTCTTTTTGGCGTATGCAATTCGTGTCGTTTTGATTCACAATTAGTTTTAATCAAGTTGTGTTGGGTTTGACAATAAATTATTGATATAATGGTAAAGGAGATGGGTCTTAAAAATGGAGGGGTATACTATAATTAACTTAAAGTTGAGAATTTAAACTTAATAGATTTAAGAGAAGGGGAGAGGAAGAAACTCAAAAAAAGAAAAAAAGAAAAAAAAAATTATTTTAGTGGACGAAATTATCTCCCCTCTTGGACATTTATGGAAAGAAGACAAAATGATGGGACCAGAAGACTAACAAACAATATGTCGTTAAAACATAACCAAACTTGGGGAAATTACCAAAAAAAAGAAAAAAGAAAAAAGAAAAACAAACCCGAACTTGGGGAACAACTATTAACACACCATTGGACTAAGTCTAGATCCATTGGAGTGGTCCAGATGCATCGGACTAGTCTAGTGTCTAGATGTTACAACTTGTTGAGCAATTAAATGTAATCGACAAAATTTGAAGTCCCTACATATGTTAGTCCTTGATTAAAAAAATAAATTAAGTAATAATCATAGGGACATTTTATTAAAAAAATAAATTAAGCAATAATCTTAGGCCCATTTCACTTTATTTATTTTGTCATTAAGGGATTAAGATATAGGTATTTGTCTTATTTGTATTTTTAGAATATAAATTAAAGATGTATTAATTTTATATTTTTTTATTAATTTATATAAAAAATATATAAACTAATATGATTTTAAATACTCAAAAAATATGTACAATTTAAATTAAATAGTTAATAATATTAAAGTTAATATTTATTTTTTATAAAAATTAACAACAAAATATAATGAATATACCTTTAAATGATATTAATAAAAAGTACATATTTGGAAAACAGATTAAAAAAACCGAACATATATATAAGGACCATGCCTTTTTCTTTTCTCCAAATGTGAGATCTTGTCAATTACATATTTTAGGGCAAAAATCCATCTTAAGTCCTCAAATTTATCCTAAAATAATATTTAAATCGCTAAATTAAAAATAAAATAAATAAATCTTTTAATTCCACTAACAATACAAATAAGTCATTCTCATAAATGAGCCAAATAATATTTCATGTTTAATATCATTATCATTGAAATTGAAAGGTTTATTTGCTTCATTTTTAATTTAAAAGTTTCAATACTCTTTTAGAATAAGTATAAAAACTTAAGAACGGTTTTTGCCTATATTTTAGTCATAACCTTCCCTTTTTTAACATCTTCTTTTTGGTGCATCAATCCAGGTGGTGTTGATTAACATTTAATTTAATCAAATGTGTTGTGTTCGACAATAAAATATTGTTATGAATCTTATGATGATGGGAAAGGGTTAGATGGGTCTCTAAATTGTCGGATTGTGATGGAGTTTACCGAACTCAATATCCTCCGTCAATTAATGAACTCTCATTTCCTTTCTCTTCACCTATTATGGCGTTTTTTTTTTTTTGGTTTCCCGCCCGGTATCCAGGGTTTTACTTTGACTACTTCAAACTCAATCAGCTGTGACGTACCAGAATGGTGGATGGATCTCCCAACGAAAACTGCTGTGTACACAAGGTTTCAAATTCGAGATCTTGCTTAAACTGGAACAAACTGCTTGCCACTTGATCCAACCCCTCGTTGGTATGACGTTTTTAAAAATAAAATAATTGGACCTAAGGACTCAAAACAGACATTATTCATTGTGACATATAACCCACACCTTGGAAAATATCCAACCGACCTTCTGATTAAATAATAGATCCCTTTCTATCCCTTTCTTTGTTCCCTACGTTCCCACACAATTTCCTCATCTTTTAGGTACGAGAACAATTATGACGAGGAAAAAGGGGAAGTATTATTTCGGTTCGAGTAGATGATCGCGTTCAAACCATGACGTCACAAAGCTCGTGTTATTCGTCTGAAGTGTAGATCATAAGGTGTCTGTAATTGCATTGAAATATTTTCGTTGCTTTTTAAATGATAATATTATATTTATAATCTTAAGTAAGTAATAATTATAATTTTATAATTATAATATGTTATTAAATTAATAAATATATAATATTTCGGTTCGAGTAGATGATCGCGTTCAAACCATGACGTCACAAAGCTCGTG